GTATCAGCCGTCACGTTACGCATATAGCGCATGCGTCTATCACCTCGAGCGAGCTCGGCACTCCCCCCATGACATAAAGCTACGTTTACATGGACAAAAGTAATCGGATTAAACAGCCGTTCGGAATAAAAATGCGTCATGTAGCCCTAATAATTATGGAGCGTGATTTATTTTCAACTCAAAATATCTTCAAACTAACAAAATATAAAGTTATTAGTGAAGAAAATTGATCTGGATAACAGCAGACTGACTGCTCGTAAAATATACGAAAGGTCTGGACCACTCGTGAATTATGTTCGTATCTGAGAAAAATCTTACAATACAGAGAAAATTGGTGAATGCCACAAATTCTCCTAAATCTTTCGTACGCACAACTTAAGAACAAATCTGTTCGTACCAACGGTTCTTGCACGAGGATGTCTCCAAAAGTGACCATCTGATTTGCACCAGAACTCTTGGTTTTAATATTCAAACCAGTGTTGATGTAAAAAAATAAAGTCTGAAGAACAAACAGATCAAAGCTTTTTGTTCCTGCTAGAAGTGAGGTGTTAGATGTGTTCATGCTCAACAGTTGTTCAGTCAGTCTGCTGCTTTTTTCCACACAGCAGCTCCTGCAGGTGTCTGAAAACACAGAAGCTCTCTGCTGAGASTCTGAGAGGTCCTACAGCACCGGGAAACAGCCACGGCTCAGTTTCCCTGGAGATCCGTGTCACCGGGAGCTGGAATTTATTTCCTCTGAAGCTTTGACTCTGATTTATGAATTCATTAAATTTCAGCTGCTTCTACCGAAAACAAAGCAAAAATAAATCCTGAGCTGCAACGGCTCCAAGCTTGATGAACGTGAAACTGAACAAGAAAAATTACATTTTGAAAATGCGTTGTGAAGGCTGAGAGCTGAGTRACTGAACAACTAAAGCTTAACGCAGCAGAATTCTAACTGAAAGCTAAAAAAGACCAAATTTATCTAAAAGATGTCAAAAGCATAACTGCTACTTGTAGCAAAAAAAGCTAGCAAAGAGTGTCAAATGTTAGCTGCAAGGTAAAAGCAGCAAAATGCTATCTCAAAGAAACAAATGGCAGGCTAAAACCTAAATGTAGTAGAATGACTGCCAAAGGTAAAAAAAACAACTAAAACCTAAATGTAGCAGAGTGATAGCTAAAACTAAAGATAGCAAGAGGCTAGTCAAAACCTAAATGTAGTAGGATGAYTGCTAAAGCTAAAAACAACWAAAAAGTTAATGTAGCAGAAWGGTATCTRAAAGCTAACRGTACCAAAAGTTAACTGAAAGATGAACRCAACAAGACTATTGTAAAGATAAAAATAGCAAAAGTTACCTAAATGCTAAAAGTACGTGAAGGCTACCTCAAAGCTAAATGCTGCAAAAGGCTAGCTAAAAGCTAAATGTAGCAGAATGGTAGCTAAAAACTAGAAGTAGTATAAGAAGTCAAAAATCGAGCAAGTAGCTGAAGCAGAAAGAAGCTGAAGCAGGTTTTAAAGTAAATTATGTGAACTAATTGAAAACATCTTCATATATTTCTTTTTGAAAAATGTTTTAAAATTAAGCTAAACGTTTTGAAAAATATATAAAAGTTCCAAAAAGTCACAGCATCCGTCTCCTGAATGAGGCAAATGTTTTCGATTTGTTAGCTAATTGTCGGCACAAAGTAGGCTGTGGTGTTTAGAACAGAAATTGTTCAGTAAAATAACAACAAAAAAAAAAGTTAACAAACACGTTGATGCTGACTCAGCAGTCGGACAACAAACGCTCAGGTTTTCTCTGCTCAGACGAGCTCAGTCCTGCTGACGAGCAGTAAGCTCTGTGAACAATAACCACGTCTCTCCTGGCTGCAGGTCCGCCTGCGGTGAACGTGCTCGGACAGGTGTGAGAGAAGGTGTGTTCACGCTCTTTGTCTTGTCTCCGCCCCCCCGCAGGTGTTCGCTTTTGACCACTGTTTCTGGTCCATGGAYGAATCCAACTTTCCCAAGTACGCCGGTGAGTCACTGAGGCTCAAACTGATCCTGGGATTATTCAGCGAGCTCAGACTGTGGGCCGACGGGTTTTGTGTCACCGCTGTACGGGCAGGGGAAGTCCCTCCAACACAGAAGCTTTACATGAAACAGCAGAGTTTGGACACGTGGGATCATTTGAAGCAAAAAGACCAACAAAGAATCTGTTGCTGTATTAATCTAATTAAYGTTAGTCACCATTCATAATAATAGGAAGGCAGTTATTGTAACTGTTAATTTAAGGCCGATTGTTTGCAATCATTGTAAATGTTTTGTTCATTAAATCTGTTTCATTTTAACGTTGGAAAAGCAGCGATGGTTTGTTCTGAACGGAACAAAGCAGTCCGTTCAGTGAAGGGCTGGAGCTTTATATAGCTCATTAAACAGCTGTCCCATTCAGCAGGAGCACAGATTTCCTCACACAGCTTTACATTTTAACACCACCAGTGTCAAAAATGTAAAGCTGGACTTTAGGCTACGTTCACTCTGCAGGCTACGACGGAGTATTAGGGCCACACAAGTTTTTTTGTTACATTTTTTTAAATTATGTGAATAAAGTCATAATATTACGACATTAAAGCATATGGAAATAAAGTCATAATATTATGAGAATAAAGTTGAAATTTTATGAGATTAAAGTCAATGAGAATAAAGTTGAAATTTTATGAGATTAAAGTCGATGAGAATAAAGTCGTAACATTACGAGATTGAAGTCATAATATTATGAGAATAAAGTTGTAATATGAGAATAAATTTGGAATTTTATGAGATTAAAGTCAATATGAGAATAAAGTCGTAACATGAGATTAAAGTCAATATTATGAGAATAAAGTCATAATATGAGAATAAAGTCGTAACATTACGAGATTAAAGTCATAATATGAGAATTAAGTCAGAATTTTATGAGATTAAAGTCATATGAGCGTAAAGTCGGAATTTTATGAGAATAAAGTCGTAACATGAGAATAAAGTCAATATTATGAGAATAAAGTCATAATATGAGAATAAAGTCGTAACATTACGAGATTAAAGTCATAATATGAGAATTAAGTCAGAATTTTATGAGATTAAAGTCATATGAGCGTAAAGTCGGAATTTTATGAGAATAAAGTCAATATGAGAATAAAGTTGTCACATTACGAGATTAAAGTCATAATATGAGAATTAAGTCAGAATTTTATGAGATTAAAGTCATATGAGCGTAAAGTCGGAATTTTATGAGAATAAAGTCAATATGAGAATAAAGTTGTCACATTACGAGATTAAAGTCATAATAT